TGGTTAGCGTGCGCGTGCTGTATCATAAAGTCTGTCATTGAGTCGACTGGCGTGGTTTCGAATCCCCCGTTGTACGTGACAAGGAGTAGGGTCGCCTGTCCAACCTCGTGGGTTTTCTCCGGGTCCTCCGGTTTCCCCCTACTGCTAAAGACCCCTATGCGCAGGCGAATTATTCAAATAAAATTAAACCATATGTTAGTCCCGAAATGACCTAGTTTGTGTCGAGTGGACGTTAAACCCCATTTCTCTCTCTCTCTCTCTGAAGCGAATTCCCCTGATTACTACACGCCTCAACTGCTGTACTGCCGATAACTCTTGGGTTATCAGTAAATGATACTATTATCAGTATAGTTAACCTACCTAAAATCCAATTATTACATTAAATGATCCGTGATCGACAGCACCGCCTAATAATGTTTCTGTCGAGACGGTTCCTAATGAATTTCACATATTTAACACTTTCAAACAAGTCATAAGTCACGAATCGGCTGGCAATGAAACTATGATTGATATTCTAATTACTATGATGTTATTCTCCGAGGAAAACTGACGGAAAAGTAATAACCACCGAGATATATTATCTAGTTGTGTTATTGACACTATATATACAAGCAAATATAAAACAATTTGGTTTAAACGCTATTTTATTTCTTGTATAATACGGATATTTACAATACTATAACAAATTGTATACGGCTAAAACACAGTATTTGTGAGAGAGAGAGAGAGAGAGAGAGAGAGAGGGAGAGGGAGAGAGATGGGGTTTAACGTCCACTCGACACAAACTAGGACATTTTGGGACTAACATACGGTTCAATTTGATTTCAATAATGAGTCTTTAGCAGTTGGGGGAAACCGGAGGAACCGTAGAAAACCCACGAGGTTTGTCGTCCAAATTCCAACTGTCAGGGGTTCTTCTTTTACGTGCACACACCAAGGTGTAAGTGGGACATCGGTTTTTCGTCCCGTACTAACGACTAAACACTATTATTTGTCAGGTCATCTGCCTTGCACCACTGACAAAGGAAAACCAAGCTGGAAATTCCGAGGAAGAGTGTCGTGATCTTTTATGCCATTTTTTTTTTGTAACAAATTTTAAAAATATGCCTTTTCTCTAATGACATATAATTATTTGATCACTAACTCGTATTTTGTCGTGTAAATGATCTTGATCCTAGAGTGCAGACAAGTAAAGAAAAATGAACATTGGTACACATTTGTAACACCGTTACTATTTTATCCGGATCGTGAAGCGGTTTCAGACGAGTTATTTGTCTCTGAATTCCATCATCCCACTTAACAATGCATTATCTAAGAGCTAAATCTGCCTATTGCAGGTCTTTCTGTTAATTTCAAATGTTATATAAATTCTTAGATATTTATTCACATGGCAAGCCCATAATCAACTCTCTAGACTATCAGATGGTCCTGATTTTGAATGGATTGAAACACGGTCGTCATTTATTAATTTAATTCAAAAATTGATAATCAAGACGTTGGTTATTATCGTAACAATGATACTTGACAACCGAGACTATATAATCGTGAATACTTCAAACACTAATAAAATCACAGAATACGTTAATTTGACTGAACTTTTCAATATTATTCCTTTCTCATTATCTATTTTAAAAACTATATATTAAAAAACGACCAATTTATCTATTTCCTATATCTTACATAGTGTATCTCTGATGTGAATTTGAACGTAATATTTTAGCCCCGGCTTAATGTTCGCAGGGTGGCTGAATGGTCAGCGCGTGCGCGTTGTATTATAAGGTCTGTCATTGAGTCAACTTAATGTTCGCAGGGTGGCCGAATGGTCAGCGCGTGCGCGTTGTATTATAAGGTCTGTCATTGAGTCAACTGACGTGGTTTCGATTCCCCGGTTGTACGTCACAAGGAAACGGGTCGCCTGCTCAACCTCATAGGTTTTCTCCGGGTCCTCCGGTGTCCTCCCACTGCTAAGGACCCCTTGGCGCTAGCGAATTATTAGAATAAAATTGAAAAATATGTTAATCCCGAAATGACCTAGTCTCTCTCTCTCTCTCTCTCTCTCTCTCTCTGTTCATTTTGAAAGAGACTTTCATTGTAGAAGCAGTTCTGGTCTGGATTTTAAAAAATGAAGCTTAGTTAACCAGGCCCTGTACCAGACTTGGACCCCTCTGTCTGTTCATTAATTGTTCAGGGAATAGTGAGCTGTGCAATTATTTGCCTAATTTCTGTGATTCCCTCATCCCACTCCAGGCACGTACGCAAAACAAGGTGAGATAACCCAAGTGATAAACTAACGGTGTATTGAAATTTAACATCGTACATGTATAAGACAAACGAGCATTCATAAATAATTCCCTGCAACATACCTCAATGATGCAATGCCATTCCTACGCCAAGAATTTCTTTAAAAAATATGACCTATTTTTTTTATCTATATCAGAAAACTAAGGTTCTGCTTTTTTAAATATATTTCTGCTGTGTTTGGAATGCTAAAGGTACGGTCCCATAGTCCATACGACAACGTAAAGGCATATAAATCATTTGATAAAATGTGACCATATAGCCAATCCATCATGTCAGAATATTTTACATCAGAATATTGAGCCATTCGGAAATCCTCATTTGAATATTAGCTCTACCGATGTGACGGTGATTTTCCGGACTGGTTCCCCCCAGACAGTGGTACAGTATGGAGGGGCTGGCAATTATGTGTCTTGTCGGTCGAATGACACGTACGAAAAACCGAGGTCCACATGTGTAATTGTTGGCGTGCACGTAAAATAACCCTTGACAGCTTGCTTTTGGAATTCGATGAAATGAAATGAAGTGAAATGGGGTTTAACGTCCTACTGTTCTGCTCCGAACTGGGCTAATGAAGACGGGCATACGCCATACAGTGTGCTATGAGGATCATTTTGCCCGGACAGCGGCACTACGGCCTATTCTTATATCGAATTCCAACTCTCAAGGGATCTTTTATGTGCAAGCCAATGAATACACGGGACCTCGGTTTTTCGTCACATCCGAACGACTAGACAGCTGTCCTTGAATTCGATGAAGAGTGGTTGGAATTTTCCGATACCACACTGCATGGCACAAGCCCGTCCTCGCCGGCTCTGTCAGTGCAGAAATGTTGGATTGTTAACCCCATTTTACTTTCATTTTATTTTATTCACTAAAATATATCTGGGAATGCTACTTTATGATTGCATCATGTGTTATAATTTTCAGGAAAACATAGATAATATTATCAGTTGTTACCACCTATATCAAATTAACACAGAGGGTATTACATCATAAGGGGGGGTGGGTGGATGACTGAATGGTAAGTTAGCACGTGCGTGCTGTATCATAAAGTCTGTCATTGAGTCAACGGGCGTGGTTCCGATTCCCCGGTTGTACGTGAGAAGGAGTAGGGTCGCCTGTCCAACCTCGTGGGTTTTCTCCGCCCCCCCCCCCGGTTTCCTCCCACTGCTAAAGACCTCTACGCGCAAGCGAATTATGGAAATTGAACCATATGTTAGTCCCAAAATGACCTAGTTTGTGTCGAGTGGACGTTAAACCCCATATCTCTCTCTCTCCCTCTCTCATTATATCATAATTATTTAACACACATTGGCGAAATGAATCTGTTAGATAAGACATGAAATAAGATGAAGTAGCGGGGTACCCGAATACCACTCCAATATCACCACATACTACCCAATACTACAACATAATGGTGCCAAATGAGCATATTACTTGATTTTTTTCAAAAATAGTGAGATTTATCGTGGGAAATGTACTTCAAATGTTATTACAGATGTTTGGCTGTTCCATTTGCCTCCCTAAACCACCCCAAATATCTTTTCAAGAACTAGAATTACAAAAATTAAATGAAATGGGGTTTAACGTCCTACTTCTCTGCACCAACTGTGGTTCATGAAAACGGGCATACGCCATATATTGTGCTACGGGGTGAATTTTTTCCCGGACAGCTGCCCGCCAACATGTACATGGGGCCTGTTTTTTCCGTTCCATCCGAACTACTAGACACTACCCTTGCCAGGAGCTCCGTCATAATATACAACTGACAAGGAGAAAAAACGTTAGAAAATCACTGGGAACGTTCTCGACCATCAGGCATCGCCGGGATCGAACCACGGACCTCCTGGTTAATGCTAAGGGCAGACGAGAAATTAACATTTATACCTAGCAACCATCATTTATACCTAGCAACCATCATTAAGAAGTAGTTTGGTGTCGCCACTGCGTGGTCATTTGGTAATTGAGCACTGGTCGGGACCATTTTGTTGATATAAACGAGCGAGTCGTTTGTATCAACATAATAGTCCCGATCAAGTGCTCAATTACGTCATAATGATGGTTGCTAGATAGAAGTATCAAATTTCTAAATTTGTTGGACGCTAAATGCTAAACATGTAAAGCGATAATGAAGTAGACATTTTTCGTCTTTAAAAAATGAAACAGAATTAAAATTTACACTGAACAAATAAAGAAGTAGGATTATACATTGTCTTAATTTAGACATTACATGAATAGAAGTTAGAAATTACATGGATAGGCCTAGAAGTTAGAAATTACATGGATAGGCCTAGAAGTTAGAAATTACATGGATAGGCCTAGAAGTTAGAAATTAAACGATAGCATGTTAGAATTTTGAATCTAATATACTGCCATACATAAGTGACACTCTAAATCCCGATAAAGATTAATCCATGGTTAGAGTTAGGATTAAGAATTTGCCAGAGGGTTACAATATGTATTGGTTATGGTAGTTTCTCAAACTGTGTCTAGGAAATAATGTTTATTCGTAAATATAATATTTACGGGGTAATGTTTACTCGTAAACACTGTCGTTACGAGGTAATGTTTACTTGTAAACACTGTATCTACGAGGTATAATCTGTATTCGAAAGCACTGTGGTTACGACTAAAGCTGTTCCAATAAAGGTGCATATCGTAACACAATGAATAAATAATATTATCCTATATTTTTGTAGTACCCGGTTGACCATGAAGGTTGGGGAGATGAGATATACAATGCTACTGTTCTATCACCGGCGTGTTTACAGATTGGATCTATATGGGAATATACAGAGTTTCATCAACCTGGTTTCAATAGACAGAGTGAAGATTGTTTATATCTGAATGTATATATTCCAGTACGGACAGGTGTTGTAGGTACCTGTTTAAACTATTTTATAAGGATGCGTTGTATTACATTATATAATGATACACGGCATTATATTACAGAATGATACATGACATTACATTATATATAAGGATACATTACATTACATAATGACACACGGTATTGCATTATATAAAGGTACATGGCGTCACACTCTATAAGGACATATGACATAACAGCATATTGTTGCATATATGGGTACATTGCGTTATACTCTATAATGATGCAAGGCTTTATATAATTATAATATATTTTATTATACATGTATGAATATACGGATACATGGTATTGCATTATATAAGGATACACGACATGATACATTACATTATGGTACAGGATAAATGGCAATCTGTTTAACAGAGAATTACGAAAGTCTTTCTAATATATCTGTAAAAGATGACTGTCACAGCACGAGGTGTCAATCATTGGCTGAATGGCGCGTGCATTGTTTACATAAGACGTTACTGATTCGGGCAGAACACTGCCTTTTAGTCATTTTAATATCCATTTACACTAAATAGGAAATAATTTGTACCTGCAAATACGCCAAACGTCTTTATTTATTTTTCTAATAACATCAAAAATAATGTTTTAGAATTTAATTTGTCGGTGGTAAAAAGGTAATATTTGAGACTCATTAAGTCGCATTGATGTCATCCTTATCAGTGGTTGCAAAGCCGTGTATAGATAAAGTTGCGACAACTGTGAAGCAAGGAATTTCATATGACGTCATGCAAATATGACGTTAATTGTACAAAGACGCCATTTTGGGTCCCAAGTAACTCTACCAACCCATTACCGTATCTATTATAATAGTATTAATATGCCATATTATATCGTTGGATGTCATAGATTTCAGCGAATAAGTGTCTATAGGAGATAAAACATACATTTTTTAAACGAGAAGTATAGCTGAACATACTATTATTAGTATTATACAACACAAAGCGCACATAATTGCTATATAGCCTTATTCTATAAGAAAAATCAAAATAAAAGATACACTAGATAAAAGCGCTATTAAACATATTTAACTTGAATTCGCTTTTAAAGGAGCTAAATCGCTAATATTTGGGACCTAGAAATTGTCACAGATGGGTCGCACTAACAGCGACATTTGCTTCGGGCATATTTGTTTCATCAGTGGCACGTCTGGTGTCATGTGAATGCAACGACAACAGCCTGCCCGATTGATTGATTTGTTGATTGGACCACTTTCAGGTTGCCGTATTCACGGCCTGGCAAGACAACGCGTTTTCCGGCTTGAAATTTCTAGAAATTTTCTGGGGGAGACAGGCCCTAACAAATCCCCCGACGGTGCGTTTCACGACTTCGGCGGTGAACTTTAAGAGACGTCGAAAACCATTTAAAAGACATAGTAAAAGTCATATCTTACGAGATTATCGCTGGTCTTGTCGGAAAATGCCATTTTAAATTTGACAGTCATTTTGAAAGAAATGCCCGGCGCCATACATTTGAAAAATACATTTTTTGATTTTTGTCAAATTCGTTTTTCGGCATAGTTCGCCTCTATGACCACTTTGAATTTGAAAAATTTAAAAAGAAATTATTTATTCCCCCACCACTAAAACAAACTGATTATGAAATATCGCTCTACGAAACTTCCTGGTTTCTTTTGCAATTTGTTTGGGGTAAGGCGTTATCACCCCCCCGCCTTTGTATAAATAATATCAATCTGTCTACCACACAAATTTAACAGATACAAATGCATGTTATTCCACAGGTAAACAGACATGGCCCCCTTTGAAGGGGCTCGGTGAAGGGGACGCAGTTGGTTTAGAGTTTGTCTGACCCCTTTGAATATTTGCGTCTTATTTCCAATGAAAACAATCATGTTGCTCTGATGCTGTTATCAACCAGTATCAAACATATATCGTACCTGGGATTTATTAGCATGTTCCACACAACCCAACATTTATCGGCACCAGGATTAAGGGTATATATCTTTGTTTCTAACGCTTATTGGGAATACGTCACGGAAACTACAATAAAAACTTATTTACAAAAACATTCTAAAGAGTGAAAACTGACATATTTCAAGCTTTACTGTATTTAAAGAAATAATTTAAATCAGCCGGCTGAAACCCCGTCTCCGCTATTTGATATAGCAAACAAGTGTACAATCTATAAAAGCACACATTCCTAAAAAAATGTTTCTTTAGTCAAGTGAAACAAGAATATTCATAACTATGCGAGGGTGGCGTGAGTAAATTCGTGGTAACAAGTCTGAATAGGCTAATGGGACAATAGAACAAGTTCGCCTTGATGTTGACAAATACGTAAGACGATATGAACATCAACTAAAAAGATATATAATGTGATTCAGCTGCAAGGTGATATATGCATATATGCAGCATAGATAATTAAAATCTCTATTCAAGTTAAACCAACTGTATCTATATTTAAGTCTTACGTCGAGCTGAATACATTTTATGACTTATTGTCATTAAAACATCTATTGGTGGTTAACAGTGTGTCACTAAAAACTAAAATTGGATTTTATTATTGCCAATGATATAATGTACCTTGAATTTTCTATCACGAAGTCTATCGCATCCAGATATTTAAAGCGCGTTTACAATATATTCATTTTTTGTTATTTCAGGATGGATATATCGTAAAGTTCATCTTCATTTGACGAACTACACCCAAACTACAGTGTAAACACGGTTTGGAGACTGTATCGTAACTACAGGGTACATCGAACTACCGTGTACCTCATAGTTTAGAGACACTATCTAATATCCAACAGGAAAAATGACGATTAATTGAATATCCGCCAATTTGTGTTGCTGCTATTTTGTATTTTCAAAATTTATATTCAAATTCAGAGACATCGAAAACCATATAAAAGACATAGCAAAAGTCATATCTTACGTATCTTAAGAGATGCTCTTTTATTATACCAAATTTATGGGTATTTTGTTAAATGGCCTTATATTGCCAAATTCGGCAGCCATTTTAAAAGAAATGCCCGGCACCACATGAAGAATACATTTCTTTAATTGATGTTTGTCAAATTCGATTTCCGCTCATTTCGCGTACATAACCACGATATAATGGCCGAACATTACGTACATGAGATCATGGACCTTATATCCTTTTAAAAAACAACTGAAAACACATTTATTTAATGAGGCTTTTAACTGACTCTGTATACAATCGTTAAGATGTCCATAATCTTGTTGTTTATTTATGATTATATTGTCACTTTGTAAAGTGCCCCTGAACATGTTTTATGAAAGGGCGCGCTATAAATATGCTGTAATAATGTTAATAATAATAATATTACCAAATTTAGCGGCCATTATGAAAGAAACACCCGGTACCATATAAAAATACTTTTTTTGAATTGATGTTTATCAAATTCGATTCTTCGGCACATTTCGCTTGCATAACCACTCTGTGTTTGGGTAATTTTAAAAAGAAATCATTTATAATCCCACCAGTAAATAGTAAAACACACTGATTACGAGATATCGCTCTCAGAAAGTTCCCCGATTTTGAGTATGATTTTGTGTGATAGGCCTATATTTATCACGGAACGAAACTGCATTGGTTTCTTTTGCATTTTGTTTAGGGTAAAACGTTATCCCTCAACGCCTAATACTGCAAGAAAAAAAACAAATTTTGGTATGTAAACCTGTATGAAGCCATGACGTCGTAGCTTTTATGGCGTCATAATTGGGACCCAAAATGGCGCCTGGAAATGAGTTGTCGTAACTTTCCCTATACAGGGCTTTGAGTGGTTGTAGCGGCCTAGCGAATATTCACTTCTGATCAGTGTTGATAAATGGTGTTGTATGATATAACGATACACGGTATTACATTGTATAAGGATACATAGCATTACATTTTATAAGGACGTGTACCGTTATAGTATATATACATAACATGGTAGTGTATAAAAGTTCATGACATTACATTATAAGGACCTCTGGCATTATGTGTTGTTTAATGTTCAAGTGCGAAACGTTAAGTAATATATTGATATTGTACGAGTGGTAGAGCACCAGGGCAATATCTATATATTCCACAATGTCTTGCACGAGACCATTAAACAACTTAAAATAAAAACACTATCCAGCACGTACATTTCAATGAAATACGTCACGCGGGTCCAATATTGCAACTAGTATACATAATGTACGCTTGGCACATTGCCCGTACCATTATTTGAAATAATGGTACGCCAACATCAAAGGATGACGTCACATCTGTATTTTAAAGGATATTAAATGATATAGGTGATACTCGATTGAACGTTCCGGAATTAAATTCTCTCAATCCCAAAAATTGTGACAATCGAGTGAAAAGGTGGATTTCGGGCTACAACGCATGCGTCGCGACTGAATAAGTAAATATCTTTGCAGCCGAAACATATTCGTTGTGGTTAATTACGTCACGATTCTACTCACACCACCTCCGTAGTCGGGACTGACAGAACTGTGACAGAACTGAATTCCGCGTTACTCGATTGCAATTCTGTCAATTCGGGACGTTCTGGACTGTGAATCGAGCATCCCCATAATGGCACACGGCGTAACATTTTAAAATGATACAATGGATTAGGTTATAAAATTATACTTTGCGTTACAATATACAAAGATGGCGAATGGTTAGCACGTGTGCGCTGTATCATAAGTTCTATCATTGAGTCAACTGGCGTGGTTTAGATTCCCCGGGTCCTCCGGTTTCCTCCCACTGCTAAAGACTCCTACGCGCAAGCGAATTATTGAAATAAAATTGAACAATGTGTTATTCCCGAAATTACCTAGTTGAACCCCATTTCTCTCTCCCTGTATTTTCCGACAACGATTTTTCTATAAAAATCATACAAAACCTATTACATGTACATAGAAATGAACATAATGTGCTGAAACCTGGTTATCAATTAATTCAATAGCTTTTACCTAATGTACCGTTACTAAACACATACTTCTATGCAAAATCTCACATAGCGCCTAATCTATTTTGTCTGTATCTTTAGTTATATCTGTTGTTAATACTAATTGGAGAAACCATGACAACAGCACTGACATACAGGCATAACAATGGTCTATTATCAAGAAGACAGGCTCCCTTTGAATTGCGTAGACAAAATAATGAGCTGTCTTTTTCAATATTGATAGCAACAAATATCGTCGAAATTCAACAAACCAAGAAATCTTTATTAAAGGGGCATAACTAGCAATGTCCACATTGAGCTTGTTTGTTATGTTTCACGGATAGTGCTAAATGATAAGGCCAGCTCAATTTTTCGTCATAGATCAGGAGATGTTAGCAGGGCTATCGAGCTAATCCCAACCCAAACCCTAACCCTGGACCTAGCCTCAATGCTTACCCTAACCCTTTCCTATTATCTCGCCAACAATCACATGCCCTATCCTTATTTACATCTCAGCGACCTTGACAAAAAGTAAGCTGGCGTTAACAAATATATTTAGCCATTGTTTCACGTTGAAATTTCTGCCAATTTTAAAATGTTCATTTTGTCTTAAATACTGGATATCAGAAGCCCATCTGTTCACCCTAAGATAACAACATCAATGTTGATTTAAATTGACAAATAATAAGTCGTGTTTTCAGTGTCGAAGGCTGTGGATGATATTTGTTTATCATAGGACATATTTCTTTCCTCCTACATTCGTCGAAATAACGTCGAACAAATCGAAGGTGCAAACAATTGCCGCGGTTCTGGCCACAACTTCACTCTAATCCCTTACATGTATGAACAGAATATTGTTTGAGAGCTTCTGATTTTATCAAATTATCGATTAATCCTCTAGTGCCTAACTCGACGTTCTTCCCTCCCCCCCAATGCTCAAGTTCCCGTATATGTCCCTGTTCTGCTATTTATCCATGAAATCAATTCGGGTTCGGTCATGTTTTATCTGTAGGTATATCTGTATACACGGGGTGAAATATCAGTGTAGGTCTAGTCAGAAAATCTTATCCGACCAATGTAATATTGGAATTTAGAGATTAATGATAAGAACTATTTTTATTTCTAGAACAGTGATGGTTTATTAGAAGTATTAATGATGAGAACTATTTTTATTTCTAGAACAGTGGTGGTTTATTAGAAGTGTTGGTTCATATACATGGTGGATCTAATGAAGTAGGGATGGGGTCCATGTTGCATGGTGATGTGCTAGCACTTAAAGCTGGTGTTATTTTCGTATCAATGAACTACCGCCTTGGACCATTAGGTTAGTATGTGTATAGTACTTCGTTTCGTTTTTCATAGTTCAAAAATTCGTTTTACTTGTCTTCACAACACTAGGATCTTGAAGAGTTGTTATATAACAGGCGTTCTAGTTGATGTGAGGAATTAGCCAATGAAACGGTTTGTTACGGCGAGATCTTGGCGTGCTCTTTACGGAACTGTGGGTAAATCCCTAGAAACGTCAACGCTGATTGAGTAATCAATGTATGACGTCATAGGGTCAAACGCCGCTCGTATGACCCCTGACGCGACCTTCCAGTACAACTTAGAGAAATTGTGAAATTTAATAGCATTCAACTTCTTTGATCTGAATGTCCTTCTTTTTCTTATGTCCCCCTTCACTTACAAATAGAATCAACATTTATATCGATTACAACCTTAGGATTCTGTTTTTAAGCTCACCAATTCAGCCCACAGTTTGGAAGAAAAATACTGAAATGGGCTCCGTCCCTCATTGCATCGACGGTTTAGCTTCCGGTACATATTTCAGGAACCATCCCAGATATTATTACAACACTTTCTATACAGACCTGTCGCTTATACAATTTGGGCATTTTGTCAACCTGAAAATTTGTGATTTTAATATATATGGCAATGTCAGGAAGCTGACAATAGACCATCCTTTCTCTGATAAATTGTGTCACTGACATCTATGGAATACAACTACTGTTTATTACCGAGCGACGTTTTGACGGGGCTTCTCTAGTCATTAGCAAGCACAGAATGGAGTCCCATGTGAACTTCTTCGGTGCTGGAATAGGTTATCAAGGTTAACATTTTTTATAATCGACTTTATGGCTGGTTTCAGTGCTTAAAGCGAGAATTTCATATTTTCTAAGAAAGTCAAAACATAATTATTTCTACATGTATGTCTTTTGCTTAATACGTTGTCAACTCACTATTATACGATCATAGCTTATAGGTATCATTCTCACACTTAAAAATCATTCACAGTGGAAATAATAACACAATTACCTCCCTTGTTTTTCTATCCTCCATGGAATAGCTATCTTTGAAAGTTGAAAATTATATTTTTGCCAATTTCTCAACTGGCAATAGTGAATTATAGGATTAATAGGATTATTCTTTAACAAGGTAGGCCTGTTTATAGATACCATCTATTTTAGGGCTTTATTTTAAAAATATAACTAATAAAATATGAAATTCTCGCTTTAACCTGATATTTTTTAGGCTTTTTAAGCGGCGATCCTAAGCACTTCACGGGAAACTACGGTGTAATGGACCAAGTGAAAGCCTTACAGTGGGTACAGGAGAACATCGGATATTTTGGAGGTGATAAAAATAAAGTGACAATACAAGGACACAGTGCTGGAGCTTGTGATGTTGGTCTTCACGCTTCGTCACCTTTAAGTAAAGGTAAGAAAGAATAAGAATTGGGATGGAGGATCACAGTGGCTAAGTGGGTAGGACGCTGGCTCGCTAGCTTGGAGGTCGGATGTTCGATCCTCTGCATTGGTCGGCGTGGTTCCCCTTTGTCAGTGATGCAGGCCGGAGGGTCTGACAAGGACAGCTGCCTTATCGTTCGGATGGGACGAAAAACCGAGGTCCCGTGTACACTTTGGCGTGCACGTAAAAGTTCCCTTGACAGTTGGAATGCGATATAAGAGTAGGCCGTAGTGCCGCTGTCAGGGCAAAATTTCCCTCATAGCACACCCCTCTTCATTAGCCCAGTTCAGAGCAAAACAATAGTACGTTAAATCACATTTCATTTCATTTCCATGCGCTTAGGGCATGCAATGTGGATGGAGTGAGCGCAATCATAAACGTAAATTATTATTATTATTATTATTATTATAATTAGAAAGGCCTTGTATAATAATTATGGTATGCTGTATTATTATTTATTGACAGGTTTGTTTCGTTACGCCATCTTGGAGAGTGGTTCATCATTGGCATATTGGTGTGTTCTCAGATATCCGGAATTCTCTCGTAAAAGGACGGAGAATTTTGCTAAATCTGTTGGCTGTATGCGGGATAATCTTTTAGAAGTAAAAGAGTGTTTGAAAATGGTTGATAAAGAGAAAATCAACAATTTTAGATTTGATGTAACGTATGCTAATTCTAATAATATATGTACCAATTGTTTTATGGGCATTCGTAGTTGAGGGAGCCACTGCGGTTCAGTGAGTAGTTCGCTGGTTCATTGACTAGTAGCTTCTGAGGTTCTATTACGGTACTGGCCAGGAAAGTTCTTCCGGATTTCCCAGTGTCTGGTTTTCCGGATTTTTTCAGTGTTTGGTTTATCCTGGTCAATGATACAAGCGTCTAGTAGTTCGAATGGGACGAAAATCCAGTGACTTTATTGACAATCGTTCGTGAAAGGAGTTGGCGGTTACACTAAGGCTGTCTCGGAGCTGAAGATTGGGTATTAGGGCAACCATACTTCCGGTTTCAGCGCTATGCTACTTGCGGTTCGGAGCTGTATCCGTGCAACGCCTGGCCAACCGCTAGTAATATCTAACCAACGATAATAAGAGTAGCCCAGGGGTAGCCAACCCTTTACATACCATGGCATGTATACGTCATTGTGAAAAGGGGTCGAGGGGTCGTATTCTGATTATTGTCTCCCATTAAAATTATAAATTATATGCTTTATATAAAAGCGCATAAAAGTCTGTCCACGGTGCAATGGCCAAAGTGGTACCTAAGTATATAATGTTAAACAAGAACTTATTTGGGTGTTCCAATTCCAATGACTGCAGCTCAGGTCCCCCCCACCCCCGCCCGTCCTTCTTTAAACTGCTAGCTAACTAGAGAGAGAGAGAGAGAGAGAGAGAGAGAGAGAGAGAGGGGGGTAACGTCCACTAGGTGATTTCGGGACTAACATATGGTTTAATTTTATTTCAGTAATTCGCATGCGCGTAGGGGTCTTTAGCAGTGGGGGGAAACCGGAGGACCCGGAGAAAATCAACGAGGTTGGGCAGGCCTAAAGAAAGACCTGCAATAGGCAGATTTAGCTCTTGCATAATGTATGTTTAAATGATAACACCAAATGGATTTTTATTCTGACGGTTAAATGGATTTTATTATGTTGTGCCGCATTATCAATTCGAAGGTTACATCTTGCTTTTCATAGTTGTTTGTTCTTTCTTGGAGAGATTTTTTATGAACGAAATAGATTGTCTTTTACTTAATGGGGGGGGGGGGTAGCCGAATGGTTAGCACGTGCGTACTGTATCATACAGCCTGTCATTGAGTCAACTGGCTTGGTTTCGAATCCCCGGTTGTACGTGACAAGGAGTAGGGTCGCCTGTCCAACCTCGTGGGTTTTCTCCGGGCCCTCTTGTTTCCTCCCACTGCTAAAGACCCCTACGCGCAAGCGAATTATTGAAATAAAATTAAACCATAGGTTAGTCCCGAAATGACCTAGTTTGTGTCGAGTGGACTTTAAAACCCATCCCTCCCTCTCTCTCTCTCCCTCTCTCTCTCTCTCTCTCTCTCTATCTCTCTCTTTTATTTAATAGCGTGGGGGTCTCGACAAATTGTCTAACGTGTGTGCTTTAGGTCATAGAGTATCACTGAGTCAAGCGAGGCTGAGCCGAGAATGTTCGCCTGCCTTCTAGGCTCGTAGTGTTTCTCTTGTCTTCGCCCCTTGGTTATTCGCACCCCCCCCCCCCCTGCACCCACCACTGCTAAAGACCCCTACGCACAAGCAAATTATTGAAAATTGTGTTGTGTTAGTCCCGAAATGACCTAGTTTGTGTTGAATGGATGTAAAATCTCATTTTTCTTTCTCTGTTACTTTATTTGTTTCCTTCCTTGTAGGCGTATATCTGGTTCCTGCCATTTACAGTAAGCATTGGAGACGATTTCCTTCCAGACAATCCAGAGATCTTACTGGCGGAGAGACCAATTAACGGCGAAGCGTTTTTAATGGGAGTTACACAAAATGAAGGGTCTTGGAGTGGTATGTACCTTATATTTAGTTATTACTTTAAAACTGCAATTCAAGAATGACCAGCTTAGCAGTATCCCGGATGTTATCGCCCTGGTTATTTTAGATGTGAACAATTTGCCACTGAGAGTTAGCTAATGGTGTTTTATTTCATTAATTACCTGGATATTAACGCTCATCGGTTACCAAAATTACTCGAATCTGTTGCCAAGGTAAGACGTATCAGTTACCAAGATGGCGCGTCTCAGTTACCAAGGTAACACATACCAATCACATAAATGCTATAGAAATTCATCCCTCAGAATATCTGACGAACTCCCCACCTTCAACACGCTAAGGGTACCATACACCTATTCCTGAAGCAACAACTGCGAGTTTTACAGCATCTGGACGTTGCTAGATTACTTCACACTTCCCGAACTTATAGCTACGTTATCTACAGACACATGAACAGTAACGTCCAATCAGAGGTTGTGACATCGCGGCCTCCACGGAAACCTTGACATTGAACGCACCTTGAACTTTGCAAACTCGATTATCACAGGTAAACATTGAGCTTGAAGCGCGAGACTTGATATTCGCGACGATCGAGGAATCTGATTGGCTCACATGCTGGGCTTGTACCCAATTGAAATTAGTGCCGAAATATGCAGGGTATTACGTGAATGGCTTGATAAGATGTACATAGTTAAAGCGAGATCAAGCCGGCTATTGAAGATAACCATACACTAGACTATTTGATGGTTATTTTATACACATAATATATATAAATCGTGGTCTTGTGCATCATGCTATTGTTTAACATTACGGGTATATCTGAAGGAATTTCTTTTGAGGGCAATTCCTCCATCGTTTAAATAGTACATGACTTTATCAAACTATCATAATCTTGTTGTTTATGTGTGATTTACATTGTCACTTTGTAAAGTGCCCCTGAACATGTTATATGAAAGGGTGCACTATAAATATGCTGTAATAATAATAATAATAACTAAACGCTTTAAAACTGCCTAGATCATTACCAAACCTCCCCCCTCCCTCCGAAAGCAGGTGAACTCATAAAACTTGGCGAACAAATTTTGGGCCTTGGCATCGAAATCGTCTTACTGAATATCTACCGTTATAATCTACTTGTATGTGTATTGTACTTTCTTTCCAATGGATCTTTACCTTCACCTTCTGCACCCTGTAAAATTTGTAAATCAAACCTATCCAGTCGTCTATCTTCAGAATGATCATTGTTTATGGAAGCGATTTTACATAAGCAGCAATGCTTGTTAGTGTATCCATATATAGTATGTTAGATATACTTTGTACAAAGTGAATTTAACATTATGTATATATTAAGGTCAAATTTATGTTTGTATTGATACTTTTATCACCTATTTACAGGGGGTGTAACTCTGTATGTAATGTTATAGGAGGCGCTAAGAGAGATACTAGATGATCGTGACAAAACTCGGTACTTTTATTTTATTCAATCAGTATCAAATAATGTGTCGTTACGCGTGAAAACAATGATCAGGTTAGTCGTTTAATAAAACAAAAGATTAATTAACAGATAATCCCGGGTTGATTGTTATTTTTACATTTCTTTTTACCTGATCAGTGGGGGTCCAGTTAATTAACTACTACTCACGGGATTAGCGGGGGTGTTACAAAGAACGGCAAGATGGTATCATTCAACAATGGCCGTTGAATGGGCGATGTTTTGTTGAATTTATTAGTAAAATAGTGACCGCTGGCCGCGTTAGAGGATTGACCGTTGAATAAAGAGATGAAACAACAGAATTTCTACGGGGGGAATTTATCGTGACCGCTTACAAGGAGATGTCGCTGAATAGGAGTGGCTGCTCATACAGATTCTACTGTATCTGTGACTCACTAAAGAAATAAAATATTGTTTAAACCGTATATGTGATTGTGTTTTTAAGCGTGGAAATTTATGACGGGTATATCTATAGTGGAAGACATAGGAAATGCCATTTATTTTATACCTTTCGCTGTCAACAAATATAAAGATTTAGCTGTAGGTAAGTATAATATATATAATTAAAATAAACCCTCAACACTAGATGGATTCAGACTAGAGTTTCTAGTTCAAAACTTTTCTTGTCGGACGCTTTTACTGAAAATAAAGGTTTATTACTCTTCTTGTTATTTTAAGCAGGGTTCGGACCACAATTATTCCTTGAATCCATTAACGTAGTTCGTCTTATTGACATTTTGGTCTATAATCTAAGTGTTTGAATTTACATTTACTGTCATGATTTTGAGGCGAAAGGATCTGGGAGTAAGTAGACACAAATTTAACAAACATGCGTGGAGAAAAAAACGAGACGGTTACTCCCCTTCAATAATTATATCAGATTAATGTGTTGCCTATGGTTAGACTAAGATCATTGGAAGGTTTAAACAAAATGTAAAAGACCATGGATATAACATTGATGTCGATGGGGAAAGGAGAATCACTAGACTTGGTCCAGGTGAACAAAATTAACTACGATTTACCGAACAGTATTCCAGAAACGGAAATCTGTGTTGTAATTATAAAGTTGGGCTGGGGATTAATTGGTAAACTCATCAATCTGGCTGAACATGTCTTTGGGGCCATTGTATCACCAGTGAAAAGGGGTCGTATTCTGATCATTGTTCCCCCAATAAAATTATAAATTACATGCATTATATAAAAGTGCATAAAAGTCTGTCCACGGTGCAATCGTCAAAGTGGTACCTAAGTAAAATGTTAAGCAAGAACTTTTTGGGGGGCCCCAATGAATGTGGCCCAGCCCCCTCCCCTCTTTAAACTGCTAGCTACGTGCTTACTTTGACGTGCACTGTTCCCAAAAATACCACTTAGCATATATCTGTACTTTCGAAACAAGAGAACTACGGCTTCCCGCCCCTCCGCGATAAAATCATTAGGCTTCAACTGGGCCCATGTTTAACCAAAGATTGCATTACTTCTCTTAAAGGCCAGGGCCCTGTTTCTCGAAATTTTAACTAAAGATAAAATACAAATTTTAGTAGATACTTCAATTTTGATTGGCTAAGCACTAAAATCAATCTAATATTATCCAATCAAATTACTAAAATTTGGATCTTAGTTAAAATTTCGTGAAACAGGCCCCAGGACCATGCGGACAATATACCGTCTTTAAGTCAAAATGGCCCTGTTTCTGGTTTACTTTTGAGATCAAACATGGACTCTATATCGAACAATTTTACTCCAACCAAATACGAATTTACGTTACCAACATCTGAGCCCGTTTGTTTACGTGATACAGAAACTCTATTAGTTTTTAACTGTTTCATATAAGCTGTACTACAAGAAGAATATGCTGCTGATATTGATCCTAACAATGGAACTGATGTATTTTTAGCCGTATCAGGGGCAAGTACAAATTTTAACAATATCTGGATATTATTGTGACAAATAGGTGTCTTTAGCCTTGAGAGGAAGCTGGAGGACCCGGAGAAAACCCTCGAGGATGGACAGGCGACCCCACTTCTCGCACGTACAACCACGCCAGTTGACTCAATGAAAGACCTTATAACACAACGCGCTAACCATTCAGCCTTCCAACCCCCTATTGTGACAAATAATTTAGTAACAATATTGTTTCTGTTCTCTGGCCGAGAAAGTTCATCCAGATTTTCCGGTGTGGTTCCTTCTTGTCAGTGTTCACTACTATTCCTCCGGTTTCCGTTGAAAATATTTTCCCATACTTTTCTGATTATTATTTAGTGGGGAAGCTCATCGACCCAATATATTTGGATTTGGTTTGGTCTTACCCAAAAGTTCTAACGGTGTTCGAACTAAATTATAATATAATTACATTGTAGATAATTGGAGACAGTACGTTTATTGCCCCTGCCGTAAAACTAGCCGATCATCTAGCAGAGAGAAATAAGGATGTTTATTTCTATAGTTTTGATTACATATCAACATTGGCCTCAACTCCTCAACATCACGGTAAGCAGTGGTGGACTGGCCAGGTTGTCAGCTTGTCCAATGACAAGTGAGCCCCTGAGGAAGTGGGCCCTCTTAGACATTAGACAATATATTTAAAATATAAATTATCAAAAAATATATAAATATTAGAAAAGCATTATTAGCATGAAAATTCTAATTACATCTGTTTGTTAACTTTGTTTCCACTTACATATTTTTTGAAAATTTAATTTATTCATTTTAAAAATTAAATGATTGAATTGTACTGGTGGGTGGGCCCCCTTTGTCTCCTGGCAACCAATATTTTCAGACCCAGTCTGCCACTGACGGTATGAATTTATGTCAAAAGTTCTGATACTATTTCAAGGAATCCCCCGAATCTCTTTATTGTCGTGTACGGTAATTTGAGCAGGACAGGGTTCGGGTGAAGACAGGGTCAAGTTCGTCGTGGGGTCTGGGGGATTACCCGATCATTTTATTAAATTTAGGTGAACACGTGTAAGGGATTAGAGTGGGGTGGGGCCTAAACGGCAGCATTGCTATGCTGTAGGAGAGAAATAAAATGTTTTCCAGCAGCAGGTGAGCCGCCCCCCCCCCCCCGCCTTGCCTCGCCCCGCCCTGCCCTGGAAACGTGTCTGCTCTTGGTGCACGCGGGAATCCTCTAACCCCATGGAAACAGATACGAATAGTAAATTACGATATCAATCAATGCTGTCATCTCATTATTATCCTCATTAAAGGGACAAATGAAAAGCATGTATGTACTTTTTCATCCTGATAATCGTGTTCCATGTCCATCAATTTTTGAAAACGTCCACTCAACACAAACTGGTTCGTTTCTATATAGTACAAGTTCAGTTTCATTTCCTCTAAAGTGGCGATCTAATATTCCACTCGAGGCACTTTATAAAATTCTATAGCAAACGACGATTTTACATGTTATGAAAAATTGGCAGCGTGAACACAAATTATTATCCGTTCTTAAAAAGTCGGAATTAAAAACAATAAATGTGAAGAACAAGATAATATCAGGAAGAGTTTAAGGATTAAGTTGTTATCAGCATACGACTTGCAATAAGGATTTTCCTTAAAGATATATTAGTTAAGAGTTTAATAAAAAAAAAATTGACATTCTTGCTATAATAATTGAAAAATAGATGATAAAAAAAAGAAAATATTGAGAATTTCAGTCAAATAACTTACTCTGAACGGAGTTGTCGCTGTTAGAAGTTTGGACTAGAAATAGGCATCAGCTGTGTCCGCACCGTCTACGAGAATTGCCGATCGATTGATTGACAGACGATAACACACTGATCCGCAGTGAATATTCGATTGGCCGCTACAATCACTGATAAGGATGACATTGATGCGACTTAATGACTACAAAATATTAACTCTTTTCTTTCGACAAATTAAATTCTGAAACATTTTTTTTTAGTATTAGAAAAATAAATAAAGGTGTTTGAAGTATATCTTGATAAAAAAATATTCCATATTTAGCGTAAATAGGTACAGAAAATAGTACGCGGAGGCGTAAAATGGGTAAAACGATATAATTTTGCCCGTACCAGTTCATATTACTACGTTCGATGTAAACAACGCACGTGTGATCATCAATTTGACGTTTTTTTCTGTTTGTTTACTCTGAATTCTTTCAGAAGTACATTTTTACCGTCTAATCTGATTGACCTGCTCGTGTTTGTTTTAAAACAACAAAAACAAGCCACAGAAGTAATCATTTTTGGCGTTATCGATGCCATCTTGCTTTGTTGGTAAACATGTGATGTGACGTCACCCTTAGAACTACAGAGGTCTGACCTTTTAAAGGTCAGTCATCTTGGACAGAGATAAAAGACGGATGTCGCATTAGGTCTGTAAAACAGATTGAGGCGATAACTCTACCCACATATTCTCGATTATCAAGTAACATTCTCAATGGCTATGGTACCCTCGCTTGGTACGCCTTTCATCGGCTGTCTCCGGTTGTAATAGTAGTGACTAACGGTAAACGTTAGCTTGATCGGCCATTTTTTTATTTAATTTTAAATGGGCGACTGTTTAAATCCAAGCTATATCCAAGCCATCCGAGGGTCTACAGAGTTGATTTTGGGCTAGTCATGTAACTAAAGGCTTAATTAATAATTTCTATAACATCTGAAGCCCAAATAAAGACTTGCAATAGGCATATTTAGCTCTTGCATAATGTATGTTTAAGGGTGCTTTTATGGGTTTGTACTTAATATGTTTTATGCACATGGGTCCTGTTTTTTTTTCTCTCTAAATACCGTTATTTTACAATACAGGTGTACCACATGGTCTGGATCTATTTTATTTATTTGGTACCCCATTTACTGGGCATAAATATCACACATATAACGAGGAAGACAAGGCAGTTAGTCAGGCATTTATAGATATGTGGGCGAGTTTTATTAAAACAGGGTAAGTATGCAATAATTCTGTATCCATCGATGAAAAAATGAGTTACGGCGGCTCGGTGAGTAAGGCGTTGGCTCACTTACCAAGCGAGGTTTTTGTTTGTCAGTGATGGCAAGGAACAGCATCTAGTCGTTCGGATGGGACGAATAATCAAGGTTCCATGTATACGTTGGCGTACACTTTAAAGAGCCCTTGACAGATGGGATTCAAAAGTTCCCTAAATGCACACTGTTCCCGTCTTCATTAGGTCGGTCTGTGCAGGAAAGTGGGCGTTTAAAGGACACTGTTGATGTCCGCCAATGTTCCGTGTATATGTTGGCGTACACTTTAAAAAGAGTCCTTAACAGATGGAATTCAAAAGTTCCCTTAATGCACACTGAATGACGTATTCCCGTATTAGGTCGGTTTGTGCAGGAAAGTGGTGCGTTTAAAGGAGAATGTTGGTGTCAGCCAATATTACATAATATGTAATAGAACTGGTTAAATACTTTATTATTTTTTATAATTACTCCTGTCTCCACCTCGTGGATCACAAATCAGGAGAAAGCGAGAAAATGTATCATTATTTATAGGGCTACCGGAATAAACTATAATTATCGTTTAAAGTTTATTTTTAAGTAGAGAATTAATTTTTAAAAAAACAAGGTAATGTGCGGACTTTTTCTATTTTTCTCGCTTTCTCTTTATCTCATGACAGCCAGTTCGTTTTATAGATTGTGAGTTTCGAACAGATAACCTCTGGTCTAATATTAAAACTTTTCGTCTTCGAAGGAATTACCCGTGAGCTAAAAATCGACCGCGTATCTATTATCGCTCTCAATTTCATTCAGTTCTATACAGGAATTGCTCGTGTTTTCCTTTTGCTTGCATCACCGGTTTAATCAAATATTTATTACGCATCTATTGTAGCAATGATCTCTTATCACCTATGTAACATTGACCGACATTTCATTAAGGTACATAAGCTAAAGGGAAGAATTTAAGCATTTTACAGGCCTGGGAGAGGTCTGGTCCCGAGTTCGCAAAGCATTCTCAGACTTAAGTTAAGAATCTACTCAGCTTTTAATCACTATTTATGAGAAATATCTTTGATCCAGAATCACAAAACTTTGCGCATAGTTTCTAAAACAACAAAAGTTTTATAAAGGAATATATTTTAGTTCTTTATAAAACTTTTGTTGTATTAGAAACTATGCGCAAAGTTTTGTGATTCTGGATCAAAGATATTTCTCATAAATAGTGATTAAAATATTTTAGTTAAAATAAAGCGAACAATTTTGAGTTAATTATTAATTTAAGTCTAAGAATGCTTTGTGAAATCGCGGCCTGGGGCCTGTTTCACCAAATTTTAACTAAGATAAAATCCAAATTTTAGTAATTTGATTGGATAATATTAGATTGATTTTAGTGCTTAGCCAATCAAAATTGAAGTATCTACTAAAATTTGGATTTTATCTTCAGTTAAAATTTCGTGAAACAGGCCCCAGATCTTTTCGACAGTATTTACCTATTCACCATCGTATCAAAAATGTATTTATTATAGGCGACATGACTGGTACCTCTTCTTTGGTTTTTTTACAGGAGGCCAAAAATGAACAATGAAAAGGTATACCCCAAATATATCCCCCCGGAGAAATCCTACGTCCGTTTAGAAACCAATAATTCTCAGGCAGTGTTCACAATAGACAGCAGAATGCGCGCCAAAAAAGTTAATTTCTGGAATCATTTTATACCTTTATTACAAGCGGCTATGAATAGAAATCATGCCGGCTGCAGTGGAACTATTTTTTATGACACGGTGACCAGCATATTAATGTGCTCTATGTTCGTATTGACGTCATTTTCATCTACTTTGTTATTATTATAATATTTGTTTTACATGCAAACAAAAAAATAAAAAAAATATTCTGTTTCTCAGACAATCTTTCCTACAAATCAGATGCGGAACTGAGGATTTTATTGCCTTTACATGATCTAGTTTTTAACTATTATAGTGAGAACCGCCAGCTCTTTATCTTTTCTCCCATAATGTATGGTTATGGTTAATAGTGCCGGTTGGTTAATAGTGCCGTTTAACATGAAAACAAATGATGTGGCTCTTTTAAATAACGCGGAAATATCTGAAAACCAGGGGGGGGGGGGCTGAATGGTTAGCGTGCGCGCGCTGTATCATAAAGTCTGTCATTGAGTCGACTGCCGTGGTTTCGAATCCCCGATTGTACGTGACAAGGAGAAGGGTCGCCTGTCCAACCTCGTGGGTTTTCTCCGGTTTCCTCCCACTGCTAAAGACCCCTACGCGCAAGCGAATTATTGAAATAAAATTAAACCATATGTTAGTCCCGGAATGACCTAGTTTGTGTCCAGTGGACGTTAAACCCCATTTTTCTCTCTTTCTCTCTCTCTGAAAACCAGAATATTTTTTTTGTTTGTATTTGGCGATAGTAGACATTATAAGTCTTACAATATAGATATTGTTTATAATAATTTTATATAATGCAATAGACAGTAGGCCTAATTTGAATGTCTTGCCATTTGAAGTTTATATGTGATGTTGTTAGGCAGTAGGCCTAATTGGAATTCTAGCCATTTGAAGTTTATAAGTAATATTTAGTATGTGATGTTGTTAGATGGGACATAGTTATTTGTTTTTGTATTTATATATATTCTCTATTGTAAAAACAAAACATCTTATCCGTTATTGTGTTATTCTTGTTTTTGAAGGACACGTGGTGTGTGGTGGCGGGGCGGGGTATGGTGGGTGGGCGGAGTTTATAAACCCGCTCTGTTTCGTGGTGTGGATGTTGACCCTCGCTGCTCTGTTGATGGGAGAGGTGCGGTTTTCGTAAAATAGGGACAGATGACCTCAGAATTGAAGGAAAATGTATTACTGTTAAAACTATCAACGTATTCCTTTAAAAGCTAATTAAAGGAACTAAATCGCTACTTTCTGGGACCTAGAGATTAACACACATGGGTCGCAACGTATATAATAATGTCTATGAATGTATATAAACTGATTTACATTCAATCGTTTTCGTTTTTACTCTAGTTTTAAATCATGGCAATCTCTAGCGTCTGGTTATTCATGTCTACACCGATAGTATTTATTGCGCATGCTCTCCAGATAAGGATTTGTGGAATATGTCTATAGTCTCTTTCTTCAAGTCCTTTGTTACAAATGGCGCTGAAACGCATTATGGTACATGATTCGGGTACTAATGGTAAAATGTTTATTTTGTCCTTAATATTGGATATCAGAAGCCAATCTTTTCCCGGTAGCCTAAGATCACAACATCATTGCTGCTTTAAATTGTCAAATAATTCGTGTTTTCAATGTCGAAGACTTTTGATGACATTGAGTTAGAGACTTAGCTACTTTAATTCAGCCACAGAACATCGCGTATATCGATAATTTATGTTTCGGGTTATTATATTTCATTGTGGCCGTGGGTGTAAAATGTTGTTTTGACGGGAAAGGAGTTGGATCGCCTGTCCAACCTCGTGGGTGTTCTCCGGGTCCTCCGGTTTTTCTCCCACTGCTAAAGACACCTACGCGCAAGCGAATTATTGAAATAAAATTGAACCATGTGTTAGTCCCTAAATGACCTAGTTTGTGTCGAATGGACGTTAAACACCATGTCGATGGTTTCCATTTATTTTCTACATATACCCCTTCGAGGTGTACACACATTTGCCAACGATGTTGCAAGGGCTGGCTGCCGGTCAGGAAGACATTCTCTTCGGTACCCGAAAAAAAGTCGTTCACAGCTAACGTGACAAGACGCCATCATTACTACGAAAATATTCACTTCAAAATAGTCACCATCTTGTCGCTATTTATCAGAAAATATCAGGAAAAGAAAACGGTGATTGGATAGCTACATTTTTCTTTGAGTGCGGTGGAATAGTCATACAGAGATCGTCTTTGTAATCATTATCGGAATACTCCAAAATAGGCCTATAGACATAATGGCGGGAATTTGACCTTGTTTATGACGTCATTGCCGATATGACGTAAAACTGTCACTAACTAAAAAAAAGTAAACAATGCGAAACGTGGATATTATGAAAGGGGATACAAACCAAACTACGCGTCTCTAGTCTAATGTGGTGGACCAAGAGTGCATGATACAGATATCATTATTTCCTCCTTCAATCAAATACCAGGTGAGAAAACTAAGGGTGGGGGGTAACGATACTGTCTTGTAGGCCCTACCGGCGGTTGCTGCCTAGGTTTGACGATGAGAATATTAATAGGCCTAATGGAATTAAATCTAAGTCTAGGCCGAGCCTATCCATTTAGGACTCGGGGTTTAGCAGAGACAAGTGTGGTCAGCCTTTAGCCTACTAGGCCTATAGGCGATTAAGCTGTAAGAACTAAGGGAGCTAGCGTTTTGGTTTAGCTTTATCCTACTTGATACTTTTTAGATTTGTCCCTGTCTTAGAAGATCTATAGCCTAGGCATATTTACAATGAATTGTGGGATGAGTTAGCTGTAGTCCGGAAGCTACACAGTGGTTCACATAGGCGCTGGATCCTGGTCTTAGGCTAGCCGAAAAAGTACGTCGGGATTTTTCAGCGTGTAGTGCCTTCCTCATTGTCAGTGTTGAAATAAGTCACAGCGATTAGCCTACTAGTCTTTCCGATTGGACGAAAATCCCAGGTCTCGTGTGACGTAAATAAAAACCTTGAAAGAAATCGAAATCTAGGTGTATGCCCCCCCCCCCCCCGTCCAACATACTCATAGTCACACCACACAGCATGGTTGGCGTAGAAAAGTAGGACGTCAAATCCCATTTTATAGTCCGCGTGCTGCGGTTGTCTTGCAGTAGGCTTGCACGTCGAAAAACAACTACATTTCCGTAATTCAATTAACAATTCATTTGAATCAAATAGCCTATATTTTTTTTCCAGGCAGACAAGTTCATAGTTTAAACCTAGATTCAAAATGGTGTTCTCGGCGTTTGGAGACCGCGTGGATAAGATCGTCCTGACTGTTGGTGTTGGTTCACTTTTGGCAGTTGTATCAAGCTATTCTGAGCTGAACAAAATGTCGGGAATCGATTTGCTAGCAAGTTGTATTATTCTTACAAGCTGGGCCGTTTTCTTCCTACCGGGCCTCATGAACAGTTTAAACATATACCTGATCAAAGATGTGTTCGTCATTTTCTTCAAATTGTGGACAGTCGATCTTATCTTTAACGCATATGCTCATGTGCGAGGATACGGCGATGGTTATACATACACAATGGACGAAGGCTGGTTCTTCTCGACTACCGGATTTATCCGAGCCGCTGTTATCGTGTCTTGCGTTGTTGTGTCAACTATTACATACCTTACTAAACAAATTCAGCGACAAAGGACAAAACGACTTATTATGTCACGACTTCGAAAATAACAATACGACTCTTACAAACTCCCACTGAATCAGGTTCCAACACATTACTATGCGTGGAAACATGGTTTTTGTAATTGAAGATATTCTATAAATCAAGCCTTTGTTTTAAATTCAAAACTCATTCGGTGTTTTTGTTACTGAATGACTTGTATATATATATTATACCTCTGTCGACTTACTATAATTTCTATTAAAATTTTTATTATTAAATTTCAGTTGCAGTATTTCTTTAAAGGGCTAATCCCGATAATTTTTTGGAGAATAAAACTGTTTAATTTTGTTTTAAAATCCCCGAAAATCCTCTACCAAACGGGAATCGATTATCAGGTCTCCCAACGAAAAAATTGACCCGAAATCTTAAAAGAGTTACGTGTCCGGATAAGCAGTTTTGATGGTCACGTCCAATTCCTCATTCCTCGATATTTTGGCGTTTAAATTCAATACATACTCAGACTTTTATTTTTGAGACTCTGTTCAAATAAGGGATAGTCCCTTTAAACCGGGATCTTGGGGGTCGAGTGGGTTAACTCCTGCGCTGTGGGTCTGTCAAATGGCGTGATTTCGATCAAACATTCGTATACGTATTGTGTCTCCGGCCAAACCTCTTGGGTGATCTAAAGTTTCTCCAGTTTCCCCCCACTACTAAAGACCCTACTCGAAAGCGATTTATTAAAATTCATATTGAAAAGTCCTAGTTTCTGGTGAGTAGACGTTACTCCCCACCCCTCACTCTCTCTCTCTCTCTCTGAGAGGGGGTCACGGTTAAACGGTGGCTTGCTAGCCTGGAGGTCGGGTTTTTGATCCCTGCATTGGCCGAGAAAGTTCATCCAGATTTTTCGGCGTGGTTCCCCCCCCCCCTTGTCAGTGATGCAGGACGGAGGGCCTGACAAGGACTGTTCTCTAGTCGTTCGAATGGGACGAAAAACCGAGGTCCCGTGTACACGTTGGCGTGCACGTAAAAGATCCCTTGACAGTTGAAATTCCACATAAGAGTAGGCCGTAGTGCCGCTGTTCTGGCAAAATGTCCCTTATAGCACACTGTATGGCGTATGCCCGTCTTCATTAGCTCAGTTCGGAGCAAACCAGTAGGACGTTAAACTCCATTTCATTTCTCTCTCTCTCTCTCTCTCTCTCTCTCTCTCTCTCTCTGACTGAACATGAACGGAATAAAGATGCTTAAAGATCTGCCAACTGGTACACGGTTAAAAGAACAGAGAGAAAGAAAACGGGGTTTTGTAATAATATTGCTAGAATTTTTGCTCTTGAAATAAGATGCCTTTATATTTCATTAATTAATATCTTTGGCAAGTTAGTAATTTCAAACATATTCACATATATAGTGTGCACTAAATCAACTTAGTCTGTAATTGACAGTTGACATATAAAAAAGAGCTCTTTATCGAAAACATATGTCAATCATTTACCACCAGAATTACACGTGAGTGGAATTATTCTAATTGCATCATTTGATTTAAAGTAACCACTCATTTTGTTAATTACACAAGTTCAGGGCCATGATCACGCTTTATGGTGCATGATATTCATTTACCTTTAAAAGAAACCGGGGAACCCTGTAAGTCAGACTTGCATTAGATTTCAGAGATCGAGGGTACATCCTAGACAGTCGAGAGGCTGGATAGGGTGGAGAAGTGGTTTTAGCTATATTGTATTGTAATTTGTGCTATGCTTGTAAACCTGTATTCAGTTATATGCTATATAAAATGAAGAAGCGAACTATGCATTATTATTCCTGGTAAGACAAACAATCTTAAGAAACTGGAAGAAGTAAATACACAACGTGAAGCAGAAGTAAAGACAGCTAGAGACAAATTCTAGACGATCACAAGGCTACAGAAATATGTAGTAAGAAAAGATGCATGGGTCGTATGTAGGATGTGGCGACCGGTTTCCCACAGACGCTCTCCACGTCAGACAGAAGGCTCATGGTGCTACATATTCAACGCACGCCCACTCGACACAAACTAGGTCATTTCGAGACTAACACATGGTTCAATTTTATTTCAATAATTCACTTGCGCGTAGGGTTCTTTAGCAGCGTGAGGAAACCGGAGGACCCAGAGAAAACCTACGAGGTTGGACAGGCGATCCTACTCCTTGTCACGTACAACCGGGGAAACGGGTACTACGTCTTGACACCTGAGAAGACAGACCAAAATCAGCTACAACAGACGGGGTTTCCTGAGTGGTGACGGATCGGCAGTGGGTCCAGGCAAGAGACGTTTTAACATCAGGGGTGTAGGTGTTATAGGATGAGATGTAGTATCCTTGGCTTCGTCT